CCTGAATGATAAAACACATAAACTGTTTTGTTTTCAGCAGTTGTTGGGTTGACGTTCAGCCAATGAGTGCTGCCCAGTCAGTGCTGTATTTGCATCTGCTATAGAATCATTGTCTGCTGTTTGAAGACTAAACATTAATGAGGAAGAGGAATTACATGCACTGCATAACATTTTCCTATAGGATTTTGGTTTATGCTGACGATTAGGTGTGTGCCAAATCATATTGTTTATGATAATACCGGTATCATTTTAATATGGTTAAATCATATTGTGGTAGTGGCAGTATTCTGACTTGTTGATATAATGATGTAGCAACAACAAGCATGACAGAAAGCAAATTGCTACCAGCTTAGGGGTGCAAAGGTGTAGAATTTCACAGTACGATAACAGTCTCAGAAAATATCCTGGTTTCACTGTATTACAGAATTTATATTATCAGTCAGAATGACCGTTAAAGGAATGAAAACTGATTGTTAATTAAACAAACATTTTTAGTACTGAAATTAAAACTTGAAATCATTTTGTCAGTGAAAGTATGTGTAAAAATTCTGCCCTTAGAAAATAACTAAAATAAAGGGCAGATTCTTTGTCCAGTTGCTTTTTCTACCCAATATCATAGATAAGCAAATGTACATGGCATGATAACCTTGAACTCTTACATCACAGTATATCTTGACACCTGTATATCACTGCAACCCTACTTCATAATGAGCAAGTTCAGTAGTGAGGAGGAATCAGTGGTGTCTGGGACTAAAGCTCTGAATGTTTTCTTAACAGCCCCACACTTTTTAGACCCTTTTAGGGTCATTCAGCTGGCAGCAGCACAGCGTCTCCCTCTCCTATCACACGGATATTGGCATAACAAGGTCATTTTGTTGTTAGTCTGTCATAATGTAGGCCTATGTAAAGCTCCACACAAAACTTAATGTGAATGTGTGACAGCCATTGAAACATAACAGCCTGTCAAAATAAATGAAGGTTTGTGCATGTGCAATGTGTGTGTGATGTGACAGAAGATGACAGAGGTTAAGAGGTTAGCAGGTTAGCTTATGTACAATTTTTTTTAATAATTTACTTAATTTGTTGCAATTGTAAGCTGTTGAAATTAATAATACGATATTTTTTTATTATTTTGTTGTATCATCAAGAATATCATTATCTCAAAAATACCCTAAAAATAAAATTATCCTACGTTATCAAGTAGAAATTAGTGGAGTTAATTATGATTATGATATTTTGTGGGTATAAAATATACAAGAGTGAAGGGGCACTTAAAATACCACTAATTTTAACTTCTTATGTCTACCAACTTTTGATCTGGCCCCCAATAGTCCTTAAGTAAGTAGTTATAAAAATAAAAACAATAACAATATGACATTAACAGGGTCCCAGGTCAAGACGTGTAGTTTATCGTCTAAGTATATTATCATGTGTCATCAGTTAGCATCCAGGCAGTGTTACAAAACCTAGAGGTTTCAGAGCTGCTACTTAATATTTTCATTATCAATTAACCTGCACTGCAGATTGATTGTTAGGTCTGTAAAGCATCAAAAAATGAAAATCAGTTGTCACAATTTCCTAAAGTTCAAGGTGATGTCAACAAATTTCTTGTTTTCTATGACCAGCAGTCCAAAATGTAAGACAAGGAAAAATAGTAAATTCTCACATTTAAGAAGATGGAACTCGAGAACATTTATTTTTTGCTTCAAAAATTACTTAGACAGTCATACACAAAAGTATTTATACTTGTTAGTTGTGAATATCAATGAGAAGTCCAATATGGCAAATTTATTGTAAATCACATATAAAATATGTCCAGTTCAGTGAACTACTATCCACTTTTCTGCACTCAAAACTCTTCACACAGATACAACAAAAACCTGTATGTCATTGCATTAGCTTGCTGAACTCTAACCAATCAGACTAGCATTTTACTTGTAGGACTGCCGAGTATCAGAGGCTGAAGTTTGCTGTAAAAGAGTTGGTTAAAGGACACACAAATATTACAGGGCCTATCACATATTTCAGCCTTTATCATATAAGGTAGGACTGCAGATCCGATGCTGCTCTGCGGGGTCCTGACGGTGTGAAGCAATAACTTCACATGCACAGTTTTCCCAGACACCCTGCATGTTCTTATATGAGAAGTTATTTGAGACACTTGCCACCTCACCAGGATAAGGTTAGGCAACACAAGAACACATGTACCCTCACACTGCTTGTATACACTCACACACACAAACACACACACACACACACACACACACACATGCACTTCCCTCATCACCTCTTCCAGCTACTGTCGTCAGTTGTCTGGTGACACCTCAACCCAATCACAGAGATAGCAGACCTGAGAGCGTGTTCATTTGGTAGTGTTGGCAGGAGCTACAGTACAGGCCTCAAGGTCAGGACTGCCTCCTCACACATTTTGTTCATCACCTAGAAACTGAGCAGCATCAGTCTGGGAAAGTCTGCCTTTATTATTTTGTGGAAATTAAAGACTTAAAATGCTACTGTACATGGTAGAGTCCTGCATCAGATACCCAGCAAGTGACCTGCAGAAAAAGATGATTCGCAGGTGTTTTTTTTGTCCTAATGTTATGTCTGGGGTAAGTTTGGGGTGAATAGAATAAGATGCTGGTTTAAATCTGCTGACTGCTGACTTTGAGTGTCGGCTCCATCTTCTGTGCCAGCTGGAATATAAGAGCTGCTGCAATCAGTCAAGTCAAAGTCAAGTCACTTTTTATTTATATTGTGCCTAATTATAACAAAACAAAACAATCAGGCACGTTACCAACAGGCACGTTCACGGTTGAGATGTGCTGCTCAATATTATGAGAATAATAAAAATTAGTTATTAAGATTGTATTTCCAGAATTACCTTTGTTTTAACATATATCATCAAAGTTTTGCGTGTATGAAATGTCACTTTATGATCTAAATGATCTACCGTGAATTTATTAATTTTATTTCACAGTTTTTTCACAGTAATAAATAGCTTGTTACTAAAATGTTGAGGCAGAGGGTACTTGCTATAGCTCTGGTTGAGGGTGAGAGGCTGTCAGCAAATAGTTTGTTGAGCACAGGGAAATGGAGATATGTGTGGGTACATGAGACCCTAAAAAAGAGGGTGGATCACAGGGAGTACCACCAGTTGGGCCAGGAGCTTTGTCTCGCTGGCTGTTTCCAGGCATATTTTATGGTAATCCAGCAACCACTACCACCAGTTTCTCCTCCATTGTTTACCAACCCTGTAAATTTGTTGTTGTGACCACCACAGAAGGCCCACCTCTCAAATCATCCCATTGGACAATGGGAGGGAGAAAAGCCGAGATGACTTGGGGGGCTTTTCCACTCTGAGTTTAAGTGTTTTTAACTCGAGGAGTTCAGGTCACTCTGGCAAAAATCCCGGGTGCCTAGAGCACAGAAACGCAAGGTGCATTACACAGAACCGCGAGGAAAAAAGCTTCATTCTCATTACAAACAGTTACCAAAAAGCGCCTCCAGCTGCTAAAACACTTTCTGTATGATCAGGGCCCAATGCACATCACGGTTCTGGTTTGGGTGCAGGTCTTGAAAACTGGACCCGTGCAGGACTCTGCCACATGATATGGTTTAAGTCCAGTTCTAATATTTACATTTTCGTATCTGGTTAATGAACTACCTTGGTAAAATTTCACCAGTTTTACTAAATTTAGCGTTGTTAGCCTTAACTTATTATTTTAATGCATTTTGGTTGAACTTATTAAATCCTGGACTGGCATGCATTCTTGTCTACTTTATGATATTTGCACAGTGAAAGAGAATAAGAGATGGGTCAGACAAAGAAGACTTTTATGAAGTTTTATAGCAGTTTAATGCATGAAATCAGTCATTTTCCCTCTCGGCCAGCAGTGTATAACACCATTTATGCATGATGGTCCACCACATCAAGGGACAATTATGCAGCAGACTGTATGTTAATTACACTGGCCAAAACAATGCACTACATTGTTTATGTATTCATTCACGTGGAACATGTTATGTCTCAGATTCTTGTGATCTGTTATGAATGACACAAAGTGAAATCTATATTTACAAGTCTGCATAATTTGTAGTGGGTTATATATGTTAGATTCAGTGCCATCAACTGCTTTTGCCCATGCAATCCCAAAACCCTGTGAATGCCATCCTACCTGTGTGTGTTTATAAAGATTCTTGCCACCTTCTATCATGGTATGACTCTTACGTAACTCCTCAGGGGATTAGCAAAACCACGGGTGAGATTACCAAAGTAACGAGCGCAGCTGTAATCCACAGCATATCACCATCTCCACAGCAAGACACACTACCTCTTCACCCCCAGCCAACCCACAGTCTAGCTTTATCTCAGCTCTTCATCTGAGCTACAATCCCAGTCTCAACCTTTGCCCAAGAAAATCCCCTCCAATTCTTCCAGTCTATTGGCTTTAATCCACTATTGCTTATTTATCAAAGATTACTCACCCTGTACCATTTGGTTTTTCTGACCCAAATTGAGGGCCCTGTAGTATAGTCCTTTTCTGTAACTCACCATTCCTCCCTATAGAGCTCTATATCCACCAGTACATAGAAATATGTTCTGACGAATATCAGCTGCACTTCAGAAAGCATATTCTTATACTCCCTGTGACATATTTAGAATTACAATTGTGTTTATTCAGATACTGATTGTTAAGCTGTGACCAGCAGATTGGTTGGTTGGTCCCCACCCTTTGGCAGGTACAGATTTTGTCCTAGGAGGCTTGTTTTTTGGCATGGAGGTCAAGTGTTTGTGTTCATGTTAATTAGTTAAAAGGGGGTGTAGCAATGTTTCAGTGTTTCTGAGGTCGTGTTTATGAATGCATGAACGTGGGGATACATGCGCATTCAAGGTCGCAGCCATTGCGAACTTGTATTTGTTTTTCAAAGGTACAGAAATGATTTTCAGAGGATACAAATAAAAAAATAACTAAATTCTTTCTCTCTGTTTCGATTCACAGGAATCATTATTTCCCAGGTACATCTGGATGAAGATTTCCCCTTTTGTTGTGACAGAGTTTGGTCTTCAAGTTAAGACTGTCTAAAGGAAAACCTCCACAATATTTGACTCATAAAATCATCAACAACTCAAGGACTGCATGAGAGAAACGTAAGACGTACACCTCAAACGGTAGGTTTCTGATCACCTTACATTTAGAAATGTATCATATTAAGCACACAAAAGATTTGAATTGCTATGAAATGTAAATATATGCAATGATTTTAAAAGAGAACGGTTTCTTTTGAGACAAGAAGAGTCAACAAGATGATCATTGAAGCATCTGTTTCAGCAGTTTTGTACTGTATACCTTACCATTCTCTTTTTGTTTGTTCTTATTTCTTTTCAAGACTGGCAGTGTGTAAAACAAGAAGGTCCTAAAGGATCCAAAACAGACAACCAACATCTCAGTAAAGAGAACTGAAAAGCTGGTAGACCCTTTAACTTTCCCCCAAAAGCTCAGTGCTTTTACTGAACATGTGTCATAACAGGAGGTCAGCATATAAGCAAAGATGAACCCTTACGTCACGTCACACTTCAGGAGGGATCTCTTTCCCCATTTCCATTTGTTGTAGACTTTTGTCAACCCTGCTGTTACTGGGTGAATGAAATGGCTTCTTCTATACTTGTACAGTCATAGCAGTAGCTCTTGTCTGTTGTTTTTCAGTCCTCTTTGTACTCACCAGAGTGCAGGGTTTGATTGTGTCTACTGTTTCAAAGAGGATATGGATACTCTGTATTCTTGTCAGCATTCAGAATTCAGAGTTCTCGGAAAATGTATGGACAAGGTAAATACTGACTCTACCAGCATACCTTTCATTCCCACATATACTTGCACATTTCTTTTTTGCTTTATTTAAAATTTTGTCATTTTTTTGCATGTTTTTTATTGGCATTGCATCTTCATATGATAATCTTTTGTTCTGTTTGTGGAAACTCTCTCTGTTGTTCAGGTAGCCTTTTGTGATCTGGTTCAAACACAGATGATGAGTAAGAGACCCCGATCCACAAACCCAGTTACACTCTCAGCCACTTAATTCTCAGCACTTTTCAGCTCCTTTCCCATTGATCTATCTACTTTGGCATCTGACGTCCAGGAATACATAGAAAACTTTCCCAGGTGACCTGTGTACTTACCTTTTCCCATCATGTAAATCTTCCACTTAAAGCTAAAAGAAATCAGTGTTGGAGATAGATCAAAGTAAACTCTCTTTGTTGTTTTCTTCCTTTCTTTTTATCTTTTGTCAGGCGTAGGAGCTTTCTCAGCCGTAATGCTGAGCTGTAATGAGGTATGTCTGCTCTGAGAGGCTAAACTGTTGAAGGTGATTGCTAACAGCCATGTAGTTCAGATCAATACTACTGATTACTTGACAATGGCCATCAAACAGATGTGCAGACCCTTGGAAATAAAATATGAAATTGTCAAAGCAGTGACATGATTGAACAGGAAATGGCAAACAAAACATGGTTCTTTCAGTTGGGACCCTCTTATTGGGCAAAGGCAACAGTTCCTTGACAACTGCAGTTTAACACTTAATGGTGTGTGCTGTATTCAATGCTTTATGTAAGTCATATTGGCACAGAATTAGGAATGACAAGTAATGACAGGAGGCGTTTGATACACTGAAAGTACTGTACTCTTTGTTTCCCCATGCCCATACCAAGGGGTTGTGAAACTGAAGAGCACTTTGATCGTAAGAATTGGCATGTTTTTTGTTTTTTTTTACTTTTTTGACTGCATGTCGGGAATGTTTTTATCATATTGTCATGTTTTAAGTTAATTAAGCGCATTTGTTTGTCCTTGTCTGGCTGCATCTTGTCACAATATATTTTAGAGGAAACCCTGTAGTGAACTGTTTAGCTTTTACATGTTTCCATCTCCATGCTACTTCTCCATCATTGTGTAGGTTTTATCATTCAATGCCTGCTCGAGACCTCTCCTTTTATTGTTTAGAATTGAACAGAGCCAATCCTGCATGTTTTTGCAATGTCTGTTGAGCTCATTCCAGCCCTACCGCTCCTTGTCAGAAGAATTCTTGCAAATTAACACAAATAGACTCCTTGGGCTACTACTGACATCCGTTTTTTTCAGCTCACCTCACTCAGTGAGTATGCTTTAAGGACAGTGGTTGTTGATGAACGCACCTGTGGACCTACTTCAAGAAATCCCACTCTGTTTCACTGGAATGATAGACTCTATTGGGAGACATCATTTCAAGTTGAAGGAAGTAAGTGACTGATCAGTGGCCTTGGAGGGAATTATCCTCTGGTTAACTTTGGCCACTATGGACTTGCAATTATCTCTTCATTAAGAACGACTGAAAGACTGACTTTGTTAGCACCACACAGTTATTTGACTGTGCAAAGGTGCTTAATTGCCACATCAACAATCAAATCAAGTCTCTTTGAGGAATACGGAAATACTGTGCACCATTAGAGAGAGGGGACTTTTTAGTACATGATGGGAGCGGCACGTGTGAAACGCCGCTTCAGTGCTGTGGTGGATGGGCCAGTTGAGGAGGAGGAGGTCATGAGGCTGGCACAGAGTGCTGCAGATACGGCTAGGGCAGGGGGGAGTCCAACGGGGTCAGGGACCCCAACCAGCCCCTCCCCGACCCATGCCCTGAATGGCAAACCTCTACCTCTCCAGAGCAACACCAACAATGCACGGAGGCAGAGTGCCATTGGAGAGTCAGTTGGGGGAGACGCAGGAGAAGGCGGGGTGAGAGCAGGAGGAATGTGCTCAGGGCTAAGAGGCAGTAGTGTAGGAGGAAGAGGAAAAGGCCATTCATCCTCGGACCAGGAATCACTCTCTTCCCCCGTCACTACCAACCGCCGGCGCACCAGGCGCTCAAGCCGCCGGCCCCGTCAGCGCTTTGTGGGCAAGGACGGACGCTGCAACGTCACCTTCGTCAACATGAGCGAGAGGGGCCAGCGCTACCTTAGCGACCTCTTCACCACCTGTGTGGACATCCGCTGGCGCTGGATGCTGGTCATCTTCACCCTCTCCTTCCTTCTCTCCTGGCTGCTCTTTGGATTTGCCTTCTGGCTCATTGCCTCCTTGCATGGGGACCTCTCCATTCGGCTCACCCCCAGCTCGGGTTCCTCTCCAGGTTCCGGGGAGGCGGGGTCTGGAGGAGAGTCTGATAGAGAGGCAGTGGTTGAGGAGCCGTGCTTCCTTCAGGTGAACAGCTTCATGGCGGCCTTTCTATTCTCCTTGGAGACGCAGACATCTATCGGTTACGGTTTCAGAAGCGTGACCGAAGAATGTCCCCTGGCGGTGGTGGCGGTCGTTTTGCAGTGCATTGTGGGCTGCATTATTGACGCCTTCATCATCGGGGCAGTTATGGCAAAGATTGCCAAGCCCAAGAAGCGCAACGAGACACTGGTGTTCTCTGACACAGCTGTGGTGGCGCTGAGGGATGGGAAACTCTGCATGATGTGGAGGGTCGGAAACCTACGCAAGAGCCACCTGGTAGAGGCACATGTTCGAGCACAGCTACTGAAGGTAAGTGGAGGGAGATGGATGATGGTATGATGATAAAAAAAGAAACGGGTCAAAGTTTGGCAGTGATAAAATAGAAAAGCCTTTCTGTTTTTGAGAAACAGGTCAAAGAGGTAAATTGGAGATAGAGAAAACAAACAGGTAAGGCAAACAGTTGCAGCAAAAAATAGAGGTTGCTACTGTGAAAGATATGGGTAGAAGAAAAAAGGTTGCAGTAGAGGGAAAGAGAGAGTGCTGAGACCATCTGGCCTGTATCCTGTGGACCGTAGTTAATGAGAGCTTGTTTTATTTTCCCTCAGGGGTTAGGAAGATTTACCATGGATTAACTTGCCCACAGTTCTTTAACGGAGAACCATTGTCCTTCGTCATCTCAATTTCCCTTATGTGTGCTGGATGTGGGTTAGCTTATTGTACTGTATGTATGCTTATGTTTACCTTACTGTCTGGCCTGAAATGGGTAGTTTTAAACATGTTTTGTGAATGTTTTGTCATCATCAGTGCTGTTTGTGTATATATGTGTGTGTATGCTGCCAGGGTTGTCCGGAGGGTCAAAATCTGTGGAACATTGGGGCTACAGGATTGACAATTTGATCTCTCTTAATATCATGACCATATCAAAGTTCAGCCTGGGCAGATGGGATTATGTTTGCGAGGATCAAAGAAATACAATTCTAAATGCTGGGACTGGATATTGTTCCATAGAACGGGTTGGGTCTGTCGTAAGCCTATGCATGGGTGATGTGACTAAAAACTTGCATAGTCAGATTCATACGAATATAATAACCAAACACTAAGCTTTTGGGTCAGGGTGAGAAATGTAATTTTAAAGATTACCTTAGGAAAAGGTGTCAAGTGTATTTAAATTTTTTCATTTACAGTATTCAAGGTGTAGATGAATGCCCTTTCTTGATACCACTGTGTTGCATTTTACAGCCAGAATTTCATTTTGATTTTACTTTACTTGATCATGTCAAGCCTGCCTATGCCTGATGTTTGTTTCATATTGGAAATCGTTCTAGTCTCCATTTGATATTTTCCCAAGTGAAAATCAATTTTGCAACATCACAACATCTAATGTGGAAAGTTTCATGTATCAAATAGTGGCTTTATTTTGCTCTCCATTCCCAACCTTAGCCAAGGGTAACCGAAGAGGGGGAGTTCCTCCCGCTGGACAACATGGACATCAACGTGGGATTTGACACTGGCACGGACCGCATCTTCTTGGTCTCGCCAGTGACAATTGTCCATGAGATCAACGACGAGTCACCCTTCTTTGAGATCGACCAAAAGACCCTGGAGAATGACTCTGAATTGGAGGTAGTGGTCATACTCGAGGGCATGGTGGAGGCCACAGCCATGACCACACAGTGCCGTAGCTCCTATCTGGCTTCTGAGATCCTCTGGGGACACCGCTTCGAACCAGTGCTCTTCGAGAGGAAAGACTGCTACCAGGTCAGAAAGGAAGGATGAAGAGATATATAGGAAACATATGGACCCATCCCTTAATGCTTTGTCTGAAGTGGTATCTGTTACTTTGCTTTAAGTTGGAGGGGTGCATATATTAAGTGTTTATTAGCCACAGTAACGGCGTGTCTCCAGAGCAGGGATGTCTTTGACTGGTCATGCATGTAGTTCTGTAGGTTAATTGTGAAACTCATAGGTTAAATGCACTGCGCACCAGCTGAGTCTGGTGGGAGCTAGCTAGCAGGGACACTCATTTAGCAATTACTGCTGGTAAACTGTCCAGACCCAACAGCATTGCTGTGGAGACATTGCACCTACCCTCCTGTGTCCCCTCAGGTTGACCTGGTGAATAAGCAGGTCAGTTTTGAGCTGTAAACCCCCTTTAGCATTGTTAACTATCACTGTTAGCTCTGTTAACCCCGTTAGCAGTGTCAGCACTATTGGTGCAAATGTAGTTAACAATGCTAAAGGGGTTTTGCAGCTCAAAATGAAGCTGCTTACTCACTGGGGCTACCTGGGGGGAGACCAGAGGGTCGCCACCATGTTTCAGTGCATTGCTGAATGAGCAGCGCCACTAGCTAGCTCCCACCTGAGCCGGGTTGTATGCAGTGCAGAGTGGGAAAGGTTAACATTACTTAACCAGTGGAGACCGGACAGTGAGCAGCTAGCACTACGCCAAAACGTCATACACATCATTTTGCTTTTTTTTCCCTTTTTCTTTTCTTTCTTTTGGCTTCTTTTCTTTCGGTTTCCAGCATATGGGTGCCAGGGTATCAAAAGCAAAATTAACTGAAAACTGGCATCCCTACTCCAGAGATGTTAATGTTGGTCAGTTGGTCCACCACCACTTTGGTCCAAATTGAAATATCTCAACCATCAGATAGATTGGCAAAATTTTCAGATATTTGGTATGACCAAACACAAAAACTGTAAAATTATATTCTTATCAGCCTTAGCTGATGTGATGTGATATAACTGTCCCTGTGATGATGTTTTTATCTTGTCCTGTGAAGCAATGAAATGTAGCACTGTTCCCAAGATGAATTTTCCTTAGGGGACAATAAAGTTTACCTTACCTTACCTTACTTTGTGCTAAGGGCTAAATATTAGCATGCTAACACACTACAGGTAAATATTAGAGCATGGTAAATATTAACCTGCTACACATCAGTATGTTAGCATTTATCTCAAGGCCCACCTATACACCCACATACAGCTTCACAGACCCACAGAGTGGCTACAGAATCTTTTCTTGCTACCTTACAATAATATGTGAAAAATTATTTTTTTCCGCCTTTTCTTCCAGGTGGACTACTCGTTCTTCCATCGAACATACAAAATCCCGACGACACCTTCATGCAGTGCTAAAGAGCTGGCCGAGCAGAAGTACATTCAAAGCTCACGCTCATCATTCTGCTATGAGAACGAAGTTGCTCTGCAGCTCGTCTCTCCTGATGATGAGCCTGACCAAGACCCTGAGTGTCCCTCTCCAGTGACCCGAAGGCAATCCCTGGCAGAACATCTCCACTACAACTGAACCTGTGGGATAGAAAGCCTTAAGGGAAAAAAGACAAGAGCTTGACCCAGAGGTTTAGAGGAAGAATAGGCACAAAGAGAGGGTTAGACCAGGTAGGAATGGGCAGACCAAGAGAGACAGGATTAAAGATACATAGCACCAGTGCCAGAATAGAGGACAGGAAGGAACACTGTTAACAATGACTGGACAGAACAGAAAGGACAGAATAGCAAGTGAAGAGATCCATTAGAACTTTTACAAGTTTTAAAGATTTAGATAAGTAGCACTTCACAGATTACTGTAGACTGCACAGGGAAAGGAAATGAACAGATTGAAAGACAGTGGGAGGTTATGGAGAGAAGAGTTACTACACTGGCTTAGTTGTCTGATTGGTCCTGGCAATCTTTCAGGATCTTTGAAAACTTGTCTGCTAAGTCTCACATCTGGCCCGTCACTACCACAACACGCCCATCTGGCTCCAATGCCTGAGTGGCAGAACATGCAACAACACCCCATGGTGGTTCTACCATGCAACTGCACCTCCAGTTTTATTACCTGTGGACATCTTTGACCTCTTTTTGAGGTGGCTTCTGTATGAAGTGAATGGAAGTGTATCTTCTGAGGTACAACTCAGGAATGTATTCCACTATGCTGACTTATCATTTTACTGTTTTATTTTGGTATGGTAAGTATGGATAGTGCACTGTTGAGAATGTAGTTGGGTTTTAGGCTAGGCTACTTGTAGAGCCAAGGCAGAGCAACGGTAACATGGAGAAACGGCTGAAAACTAGCAGCAGTTTTGAGCAGTTTCTTTTCCATGTTATGTACTCTATGTTGTTTGTTTTTTGGCTATATTTTTCTATGTGTCATGCAAAAAAAATGTTGACTGATTGTAACATTTGCTTCATTTAATCTTAGATTTTGTGTTGAGTCGAATGGCATGTGGTCTGAGGAAGCATTGTAGTGTAAGTCAGACTACTGCAGTGGTACAAAATGACAGACGATGGCTGTGTCCGTACTAGTTGCACTGCTATCCACAACATCCTCTCATGTCCTAAAATCAACCACACTGTATTGTTTTGTTCTGTTAAGTTTGGATCGTAGTACTTAGCGACCAAGCTATGGCATTATAATCTTTTAAGTGTCTTGGCACTTGGAAGACCCTCTGATGGTTTGGACTGAATCCAAGTTTAAAGGGGTTGCTCTCATTGACTCTGTAAATACACAGGAGGCCTCAAGTGACCTCCAACATCACTACAACATAACTCAGTGGAAGAGGTGTTGTGACGATGGTGATGATGGCTTGCCGTCTCTCCACCTTTGAGAATAAACCATTTGACTGACATCTGCACAAGTGGATGTGGATTGGACTGGAAACTACACCACATTCATAGTCAATAAGTCAGTATTTTTGTGCCCATAAAATCATGTGACACCCTACTTTAATTCTGATGTGTTACAGTTGGTTTTTCTCGCAGATTGTGAGAACAGTGTGGTGAGTGGTGCCTTCATAACAAACCAGAGATTTTGGCCCTTCATCTGCAGCAGTTAATTTCATGTTTGAAATGTGCTTAAAGCTTATTTTTATCGTGTGTATTTGCATACTGCTGCTTATGCAAGAGTGTTTTTTCACTTTAACATTTGCAGGATGTTCTAAGTAGGCAAAAATGTCTAAGCTGTGAATCTGCTCGGTAACTGCGTCGTCTCAATATGACCATGCACTGATAACGTAAAGAGGCATTTAGCTGTATTGTGTTATAGACCATGTTGTAGTTGCACTTTGTAATTATATTACAGAGCACTTGGATTGTTAATTTAAGACCCTGTAGTGATTTACAGTAAATTATGCCACCTGAGTGTTTAAGTGTTTCACTACAGAAAGTGTTGGTAAAGGTAACGCAGTGTCAGGAATGCAACATGATATTAAGTGTTGACCAATAATCAGCCCGTCCAACGCACATCCTGGGAACCTTTTCTTTGTACTTTGCACTAAAGTAGTATATGAAGATTGATATCACTAATTAAGCTCTACAACAGCACAGTAGTGTTGCTGGATCAGCACATGTTTAACCTCAATCCATCAGTCGCAGTGTTTCAATTCAGTTTTTGAAAGATTTTTTTTATAGTTACCTCGAGGTGAGGTAAGGTATTGATAACATATTATCTGTTACAATTAGTGTTCCTGCTGTTTAATGTTTGTGTCCTCCTTTGCACTTCTCCTTTGTGACTGCCATGTTCTATTTATAGGCTGCGTGGTGGGTCATGTCTTTCACCCTGCCTCCACTTGTAACTTGAACTTACTGCACCATCACTTTAACTATGAAGGCGCTTTTTAAAAACCCCAGAAAGAAATAGACACATTATTTGGTCATTTCACTGGCTGCTTAGGAATCACTTCTCACAGTACACACATTTTTAATTGTAGGTATTTATAATACACATTGTGTAAAATACATAGTATACTGTCATACATTTTTAATAAATGAGTGAGATGAAAACAATAAAAGCTGTACTACCTTTCCAAGGTTATTTTTCTAAAGAGATAGGGAAACTTCTCTGCTCCAACACTGAAATGTAATTTAAGAGCTGCCTCAGGCACAGAGCAGCTCCAAATGAAGCTGAACTGTGTTGTAGAGCAAATAAAACACTGGAATGGAATTGTAATTATTGGTTGCTTCTTTCTTTATTCTCCCTGTAGCTCAGGAGACAAGCCTACTGCCCATTTTAAAAATGTCACAGATGGCAAGTGTTGTTTATCACTGCTCTCACAGTCTCAGCTGCATTTACATTAAACTGCTATGATTAGATTTTTAACAAAATGCAAAAGATAAGGGGATGCAGATTGTGCTTGTAATGTCCTCATAGAGATTAATGTTTATAGATACACATCAAATGATCAAACCCTGTTTTGTCACAGAACTTTTGTTTTTCCTGTGCAATGTCCATAACTTGATATTTTCAAGGAACCTAGACCTTAAGCAAACTATTTATTTTTTTTAACAGGAAAAAGTGGAAGAATGTGGAAACTGTGATGTTAATAAAACTAAATATCTTGTATTGACAGAATTATACAACTTTTACAGTTTAAGTTTGGATTTCTTTTTATTGTGTTGTCAGAAATGACCTGTGAGATTTGGCAAAACTATCACTGCTGATAATTGGAAGAATAAAATGGCCTCTTGTTGGAATAATAATGACAATAATCTTTATAATTTATATGGTATGAAAAAAACAGGATATATAGCCTGCCATTAAAGTGCAGATGGCCATAGACACATATAATTCCTCTAGGAATATGAGAAGGCCTATTTGAAAATAACTACCAGTGACATACAAAAATAAAATATGTTCATTATGCTACTATGTTAACACTAATATGTAAAATATTTAGAAATATAATATATGTGGTACATAGAATAAAATATAAAATATGTGTATCATATTTCAGTGATACGTGATCCCAGGGGAGAAATTGTGAAACGTTACAGTTATGATGTGAAGTGTAGAGAATTATAGAGGTAAAATTAATAAGTATAAATATGAAAAATGAAATATTTGCATTATGCCACTATGTTAACATGAGTATGTAAAATATTTAAAAATATAAAATGTCTAATGTGCTATGCATGTAAAGTGTGTAAAAAAAAATATAAAAATGTGTGCCTTATGCAACTAGTGTGCAAGTTTTAAAAATAAAAATATGTGTATAATGCTACAATGTACGACACAATATTTACATACCGGTAAGTGGAAATAAACAAGTGCAACATATTGTTAATGTACATTAAAGAGTTTAGACTGAGATTAGACATTTAAAATACCACTAAATATAAAGTTTAATTTAATTTAAAAAAAAAATAATAAAAAATTAGAATAAAAAATGGCTATAAAATGTTCAAATAAAGTTCTATTGAAGTCAAGGTCCACTTATTTTAATAATTAATTAATTTATTATTCATTTATGTACTTGTATATGGCTATAGACTGTAAAAGATTCAGCTATGGCTCCTGTGATGTTTTTTCATTGCTGTAAATATTGACCGACAGCCCCCGGACCCTGGTACCTCGGGTACTCGGGTTCTATCGGATTTTCTGGGATGATCTGAATCACGCGCCTGGAGTCAGATCATTCCAAGCAAGCCGTCGGTGGTGTTTGGTTGGGAATTCAAACAAATCCGATCCCAGATCTGTGTCTGTGGACACTCGCCGCCGCTGAGTGGTAAACAAAGGGCGCGCAAATCTCCCTTCTCTAGCGCGAGACTGCCGCACAGGCACCTGCTGCAGCGCTCCGATTGGCTGCATCACACGTCACTCACACTTAGCTCCGCCTCTTGTCAGTTAGCATTGGTTAATGGCGGAGATTCTTGCGCTACTGTCAACACCATTCGTCACCGCACCCGTTTCATGCCAGCTTTGGGGCGGAAAGTTCTCGTCGTATTCAAGAGGCGGGTTTAAAGCTCGGTTGTAGTTTCTCATTGGAGTTTCTCCTCTTTGAGGCTTGTCTAAAAACTGTCTCCTCGTACCTGGTTGGTGTTCTAACAGGAAGTAGCTGCCCCGGGCTGAAGCCGTCGCCTTGCCCTCACTGCTCTGTTTTATTCTCACCGAGAAGTGTGAGTGCGGCTCCACTGAGAGAGCGGTGCAATGATAAAAGCCGCATATGCGGTAGGCTACACACCTATCAGGCAGGAAAATACCCAACAAACAGCCTCACCCCGGTTCTCCTCGCACCACAGCCTTATCCACGACTCAGAGCGGAACCTGAAGGTGAGAGATTTAATTGCCTTTACCCTAATCCAACTCGTAAATAGCCAGTGTAATATCCTGAACGTATCATATTTCAGTGGAGCTGGCTAACCTCGCTAGGTTGGTCTAAATGCGGTGGCATAACGGCTAAAAATGAAACGTTGGTGGGACGAGAGGCGTTTATACTGCTTTGATCTTTATCTTCGAAGAGAGGCTTACATCGAGATGACCTGAGGTCTGGCCAAGGAAAACTGTGTCTACCTAATGGACATATTAGAAGGGATTTCGACCTATATAATTATAAGGCATCGGCCTACAGTGATCTTTGTGTCATTTAATAAGAATACCAGCTGTAATTCTCAGTGGAAAGGGGCTTGGTTATGTGTCAGCCACATGCAGGCGGTTCACACAGTCAATTAGAGGCTGGGGCCCATGTGATTGTTCATGTCTTATGTTCAAGGTGTGGTTGCCTCAGTCAATTTCTGTGCCGGAGCTACAGACCTAAAAAAAAAATGCAGGTAATTTATAGGGGTCACGCCGCAGCTGTACTGTACTGTACTGTACTGTTCTGCTGCAGCAGTGTAATTATCACCACAGCCAGTGGCTTAATAATGTCACCACTTCTCACTGTCCGCTGAAATGCGCAGATGACACAATATCATCACCGATGCAAAGCTGAAGAAAAAAGGCGTCTCCTGCTCCCCCACCCGTTTAACACACGCACAATCACGCGCAGGCTCCCACACATTAATTACACGCACACACATAGACACAGATAAAGGCACACACATCACAAGACCTCCCGCAGTGAATGACCTCAGTTCAGACTCTTAAGGTATTGTCTGTGGGCTGCTGCCTAGTGTTGCTATGGAGGAGAGCAGTTTTGGCAACTCCAGCTGCTGCAGGACGAGTTTGCTGGTCAGTCCAGGCTGTACTGCGACAACCTGTGAGGTCTGTGTGTGTGTGTGTAGGAAGACTTTGCTTTAGGGAAATCATTGGCATCGATGGGATCCAGCATCATCCTATACTGCAGCTATAGTGCTGGCAAGTCTTCTTCTGTCACCACAAAGCAGATGTGGGAATGGGGCTGAGATGATTAAAGGACAGAGAGTTGGTCATAATACATGGTTTATGATGACAATGACATCTTGGAAGTGTGAACTCAATAGAAATAGTTTTAATCATTTAGTTGTCAACTGTTAAATTAATCGCCATCAAATCTGATAATCTGTCAGTTGGTTTGAGGGATTTCTTTAAGGAAAAATATTTAAAATATCTCTTATTCCAGCATCTTCAGTATCAGTAAACTGAATATCTTTGGGTGGTGGGCAAACAGGACCATTTTCTAACATTTTTTAGACCAGACTAATCATTGAATTGAGAAAATAATCATCAGAATAATTGACAATGACAATAATCTAGTTGCAGCCCTAGATTTCTGTAAAGCTTGTAAGCAAATTCATATTTAAAGGCTAAATGGCTGGTGTTATCTTTATTTATCTTATTGTTAACATGATCTATAAAGAGATCAAAACCAACTATGAATTGATGATGACGATGATGAGCCTGATATATAGTTGTTGTCCCAAAACAATTAAAAACGCATCAGTCAGCCACACCGACGCACAAGGCAACATGTGTCTAACCCACATACCTCCTCATGGTGAGCAAACTACTCACTACAGTATGAAATGAATGTGTGAAAATAGCCCTGAACAAATATTCTATTTATTTCCGTTTCAGTGATGTTTGCTAAAAACTATGTTGCCCTGCTGTTGTAGTAAATCAATAGCCACTAAACCACATTTTTGGGATCAGTTTCTAAAGATAAATGCTTTCAGTGGGAGCAAATGGGCTCGGGGCTGAGTTCCACAGGTGGCGTAGAGAAGTCGTAAAGTAATGACAATAAAAAAATTTAGAGTAACACCGGCCTTTAAGAAGAGATACACAGCTGTTTAATGCCACTGAGGGATCACATATTTCCCATACTGAGTGGCTGGGTGGTGGCAGCTCTTTTGTCATCGTGTTTAGTCCACACCCAGTGTCATTTTGGAGTAACAGGTATGGATAAGGCAGGGTTGAGGACCAAGCTCAGTCATGAACAGACAGAGCGGAAAGAACTGAGTCTGAGGTGCATAGCAGAAATCAAGCCAGATGACATACCTGCGGAGGCATGGAGACGCCTAACAGTTAACACGCCGGCACAATAGCCTACCTGTCTGATCAACGACGACATCAATCGTGCCTCATGTGGTGTACTTGCTTAAGATGACCTTATGTCAGATCATTATCACATTTAAAGTTAGGCATCATGGAGGAATGAGCTGTTACACTTTATTTTACCATCAACACTTTGCTAGCTAATTCCTTATTAGGTCAAACGGCAAATTAATCCATCAGCAATTGTTGCATAATGCAGAGTTCAAGTTGGACTGCTTGCAGGGTTTCATTCCTAAGTGGTATGTCTGTCTTGGCTGCCACATGCAATTCAGGTCAGCAGCTTCCATAGATTCACTTGAACCTATCCGTAACAAATGTATTTCCAGTATGTCAAGATGCTGTAGCACGAGTCATTGGCTGTAATATAAATAATCCAAGACTGCGGTCTGTCTGTTTTCAAGAGGAAAACGCCAGATTTTGGAATCAATCATCTTTTTTAAATGTAGTTGCTATGTAATTAGTCTGTCAGTTAGACTGTGAGCTGCATGAATATCAATGGCCTTTTGCTAACATACAATATGGCTGCAACTAGAAACACAATTGATTTATTTTATCGATTAATTGTTTGGTCTTTTGAAAGTCAGAAGAAAGCAACAAATGCCCAAGAGACCACGTCAGTGTCTTAAAAAATGTTGTCTTTTATTCGACAATGAGTTCAAAACCAAAAAGTCTTACATCTCCTATGTTACTGGGTTGCTAAATGCCAACAGGAGCCATTTTCAGTGAATTATGTGAATTATTTTGGTCCAATTTATATGTATGTGTGTAGATAGACATTTAGAATGGCTGTTGCACATTTTTAATCTCAGTTATTCATTTATTTTGTTTGCTCTTTGTGGCTTGGTGTCGATCTATGCAGCCGATGTTGACTTGTCCCAGATGTATAACTGATTCACCTGCGAGTCTTTTGAGTTTATGAATGTTGTATGTGCAGGGTAATGCTGCAAATGAATTGCCCTTTTGAGACCTATAAAGTCGTTTGAACTGAACCGGAAAAAAAATCATGCTTGAGAAGCTTGAACCACTGAATCTTTTGCATTTTTCCAGACTTAAATCATTATTGATTGACAAAATAGTTAC